CGCCGCGCGGAGAGCGAACTGGCCCGGGGCCGCGAGGACTTCCACCCCGGGAGGCTCCGCTGGGACCGTGGCTACCGCCACAGGTTCGCGCCCTACGCTGCCCGCGAGCACTGGGCCTCGGCCCGGCCCCGGGACTGCTACTGGGTCCAGGCCCGTGGCCTCGACCGGCCCCGGGACACCACACCGCCGCCCGGGCCCGACGGCGGCCTTCCCGAGCGCCTTCACGGACACGAGAGTGCCAAGGCCCGGAAGCGGAGGTACGAGAGTGTGGACTCCAACCACAGCCACCCCAACAAGAAAGCCCGCAGAAGCTTCGAGAAGGACCCGTCAGGGGAGCCGAGGGCCAAGAAGCACAAAAAGTCAAAGAAGAAGAAGAAGTCCAAAGACAAACATAGAGAGCGCGACTGCAGGTGAGTGGAGGGCGCCGCCCCGCTCCGCCTGCGCCACCTGCGCTCTGCGGTGACCCTGCGTGCTCGCTCGCAATCTCCATCCTGCGCTGGCCTGTGACACTTTATTTTTACACTCTTTCACTTCGTTAACATTCTAAAACTTAGCGCCCTCTAGACGCATCCCTGTCCATTGCCAGGGCCTGCTGCGGAAGCCCGCAGCTTCTGTCGGGTCTAGTGGGGTTTCTTGGCTTGGGCTTCCTTCACATTTAGAGTATGATGGAGGCTGACCATGGAGGCCAGGGGCTGAGGTGTATCGCTTATTTCTTTGGTTTTGCCTTATTTTTCTGAATCTCATTTTGAACTCTAAAAGGTATTTTTGTGTAGTTGGTTGGGTCTGTCTTCTTGTTGGTACGGGAGTTTGAACTTACGTCTCTGTACAGGTCCATGATAGCATAGAGTTACTCAGGTCGGGGTCCCAATCTGCCCACTTTTATCTTCCCATCATCCCGAGGTGCCTGCACCCAGCTTTCTCTATGGAGATGGATTTTCATGGGCTTTTCCGCCTGGCCTGACCCTTGCACCCAGCTCTGGACTGGGAAGGGGTCTTACTAATTTTCTGCCCAGGCTGGCCTCCAACTTGAGTCTTCCTATTCTGATCCTCCCAAGTAGCTAGGATTTACAGGTATGAGCCACTGGTATCTGGTGTCTGGTGTGTGTGTGTGTGTGCGTGCGTGCGTGCGCGCGCGCACTTGGCTTGCTTGTTTGCGGTGTGCTCTACCACTTGAGCCGTGCCTCATGGCTTTTGTAGATGGAGCTCAGTGGTGGCTGAATCCAGTGGCAGAGTAGAAGTTGGTTAGTATATAATTCTGGGCTTAAAAAATGGTTACAGTAGGTTGAGGCGTGGTGGTGAAGTCCTGTAATCTCAGCACTTGGGAGGCAGAGACAGGAAGATGGAGTCTGAGACCAACCAGGGCTACACAGTGAGACACTGCCCTGGGGAGTCTGCATGTGCACATGGCCCTGGCTGGTGGCACGCACGCAAAGGGCAGCCTGTCTGACGCTATTCTGTCTGCTGTCTTGGTGCTGAATTCCGGCTGCTGCTTCTGCAGGCCCCAGCAGGATTTGGAGCTTTCCGTATCATACTCTGACGCTGACCTCCACAGACACAGAAAGAAGAAGAAGAAAAAGAAGAGACACTCGAGGAGATCAGAGGACTTTGGGAAAGATGCAGAACTACACCTAGTGAAATCCGTGAGCTATGAGGCCATGGGCCATTTCCGGAGAACTGAGGGCAGTGTTTTGCTCACTGAGGGCCCCTTCCGGGAGAAGACGAAGCATCTGAGGATGGAGAGCAGGGCCGACAGATGCCATCTGTCCGAGTATGGCCAGGGTAAGAGAGAAACTTGGAAACTTTGTTTTCAAAAAGGTGATTAACACCTGGAGAGAGACCCTCCAGGGCCACAGAAGTCTTCAAGCCCCCCAGGCAGGCCATGCCCCATCCTATGCCTGCAGACGCAGCTGTGCCTGCTAAGCTGTGCAGTCCTCAGTGTGGCCGCGTGACGCCTTTGCTGTGTGGAACCCGGCCTGTTGTGCTCAGAACTGGTACCTATGGCCCCCACCTTCTGAGGGTTTGTCTTGTGAAGGGACTGGGGCTTGAATTCAGGGCCTCAAGCTCTTAGCTGTTTGGCTCATAGCTGGTGCTCTACCTCTTGAGCCATGCCTCTACTTGCAGCTTTTTGCTGGTTAATGGAGAGAAGAGCATTATGATTTGTCTGCCCTCGCTGGCTCCAAACCTCAATCATCAGATCTTAACCTCCCCTCCTGAGTAGCCAGGATTATTGTCATGAATCACTGCCACCTGGCTTAAGTAGTTTTTATAGAAATACGTTTTGAAATATGTGCTTTGTTCTTTTTTTTTTGGGTCCGGTCATGGGGCCTGACCTCTGGTCCTGGGCGCTGTCCCTCAGCTCTTCAGCTCAAGGCTAGTGCTCTACCACTTGAGCCACAGCGCCACTTCCCGCTTTTTTTCTTTTTTGCTTATGTGGTGCTGAGGAATCGAACCCAGGGTCTCTGGCATGCAAGGCAAGCGCTCTACCACTGAGCCACCTTCCCAGCCCCTGCTTTGTTCTCCTTAAAGCTTTATGAGTGTATCCTAACTCTGGGGTCAAACTTGATGAGTTGGGTCATTAGGAATGTTAGCAGGCTTATGTCTGTGAACCCTACTTGGGAGATGGAAGTAGGAGGGATGCAGTTCAAGGCCAGCTTGGGCAAAAGGGTGAGGCGCTATCTCAACAAAGAAGTTGGATATGATTTCTAAAGCCTACACTTTCAGATACTGGAGAGCCTGACCTTAACTGAAAAACAAACTAAAACAAAAGGGGTTAGGGATATGGCAAGGTGTTTTCCTAACAACATGAGGCTCTGAGCCCAAGGGCTTGAACTCAGCCTGGGTGCTGCCCTTAAGCTTTGCTCAAGGCTAGCGCTGGTACCACTTGAGCCACAGCTACACTTCTGGCTTTTTGGTGGTTAATTGGAAACAAGTCTCATGGACTCTCCTGCCCAGGCTGGCTGTGAACTGCCATCTTCAGATCTCAGCCTCCTGAGTAGCTAGGATTACAGGTGTAAGCCACAGTGCCCAGTCCCCCAAAATTGAAGAAATGTTAATGGTCAGCCTATGGCTCCTGCCCTCCCTGCTCACTCCAGGGCGTGTGTCTTGGCTTCGGGCACTGATTGCTCTTAGGGCAGCCCTTCTGCTTTGCAGCTGCCTGCAGCAAGGAGGATGAGCTGTTTAAAGTGGTGATGGGCAAGTCCAGATCCAGAGCAGAGGCTCTTGCCACACAGAGCCAGTCCTACTTGTTCTTTCTGCTCTGCAGGCAGGGTGACAGTGCCACTCATGAGGGTGCTTCATGCCAGCACTGTGGGTTTACACCTGTAGACTTTGTGTAGGGTCATTTGCTGTCCCACTGCCTGGACGCCACACAGCAGAGATGAACCAGTGACACAAAGCCTGGCCACCCCCCCACACCTGAAGTTTATATATGTGAGCAAGGACTTGACACCATGGCTGGCACAGGGCCACGTCCTCTCTTCTGTGAGGGAGGTCAGGCCAAGAGCCAGCCAAAGCCAGGCCCTCCATGCAGTTGTTGGTGCAGGGTGCGAGGTGAAGTGCCCAGCCTACACCGTGGGGCCCAGTCTAGAAGACCAGGCTGCAGCCCACAGGTGATATTGGCTGGCCGGAAAGAAATATGAATGTGGCATTTGTCCTTTGTGTGGTTTTTTTTTTTTTTTT